TCAGAACCATCAGCTACTCAGATTCTTCTCCAGGTTTCACCACGACAGGGCCAAAGCCATGGATACCCTGACCACCTCCTGGCCCAAAGGTCTCTTGTATGCCTTCCCTCCAATCCCCATACTACCAAAGGTCTTGAGAAAGATAAAACAACAGAAGGCTACAGTTCTCCTGGTGGCCCTGTGGTGGCCTCAATGTCCATGGTTTTTTACTCTACAACAGCTGTCTGAGACACCTCCGCTTCGCCTACTAGTTTCCCCGGACATGCTCATCCAAGGTCCGGTATGGCACCCGGACCCAGAGCGTCTACTTCTAACCGCATGGAACTTGAACTGGGCTATTCTCTCTCTCTCTTTTTTTAAAATCCCCATAGGGATATTTTTTATTTTGCATATACTACAAACTACAAAGAAATATAGGGGAGGGACTACAACTAGGGATAAAGAAAAGCAAACCACACTAGACTAAAACCCCAAGAGAAGGAGATCTTTTCACTGTTAGTAAATATGTTAGTACCATTAGTTTTATTATCACAATATACTTGTTGAGTTCTTGCTTATAACAATTCGCTTCTTGTATGTTATTTCGTTAGTTGTTATGAGAGAAGTCTCTGATCATCTTCTTATTCCTTGCTTCAAAAGGCCATTTTCCAAGTCCTTCTGCCTTTACTTCGGCTTTCTGTCTCTAAAATCGTATACCACTCTGGCGGATCCTGCACCCTTCTCTTCCGTTCCCGAGGTAGCAGAGTCACTCGACTTCAATTCTCCCTCTTTAGACTCATCATCTGTCCCCAGCTGACGTTTCAAAAATTCTTTATCTTTAAAAGTGGAGTCTATCTTCTCCTTTCTATCGTTGATCTTAAAGATGACATCTTCCGGAACCGCCCATCTGTACGATATTCCATTAATTTGAAGAAAAGAAATTAGTTCCTTGTAATTTTTCCTCTTTTGTCTAATTTCAAATGGAATGTCCTTTAAAGTTTAGAAAGCAGAGAGACATTTGAAAAGTGTATGAAGTTAGGATGCATTTTAGGAAGGATTGTGTGGCAAGAGCATCCCTGACAGCCTTCTCCCAATCTCAGATGGTTATCTGCTGTGTTCCCAATTGATGCATGGTTTGCATGCTCCTAGCAAGGTCTGGGTTTGATGTACCCTGTTTCCCTGAAAATAAGACCTACCCCAAAAATAAGCCCTAGCAGGATTTCTATGCATTTGTGGTATAAGCCCTAGTGTGTCTTCTTGAGAAAAAAATAAATATAAGACAGTGTCTTATTTTCGGGGAAACATGGTAGTGGCTAAGAGTGGCAGATTGTAATCTGGAAAACTGGATTTGATTCCCCACTCCTCCACATGAAGCCAGCTGGGTGACCTTGGCTCAGTCACAGTTCTCTCAGAGCTCTCTCAGCCCCACTTACCTGTTTTGGGGAGAAGAAGGGAAGGCGATCATTAGCCATTCTCCTTCAGATAGTGAAAAGTGGGGTATAAAAACCAGCTCTTCTTGTTTTTTGCACCGCTGCCACTGCTGAAGCACAAGTAAAGGGCCTTTTGATCCCAGTATACACAGTAAATTGCTTTGCTGCCCCAGTGTATATACATTTGCCAAATGGGAAAATAGACTGTGGCTCTTAAGAAAGAGCATACAACATATACAGTTAATCTCTTAGTCTTCATGGTGCCACAAAAGTCATTTTTGTTTTACTGTAACAGATTAGCCACCTTAGTGGTCAAGATGAAGGCAGAAAGGCAAGGTATAGCAGGGCATAAATTTTCTAAATAATGGTGATCCCTTTGTAATTGAATCAGGTAGAATGTGTAATGGGATGGTGTCATTAAATGCAGATAAACTTGAGAGGAGGTGGCAAAATAATCAGACATTATGAATAGTCCTTACCTACAAAATCTCATTTTATAATCTATTTGTAATGTGTTGAAATTTCTTTTAAGTGTTTCTGCTGCAGACTGTCAAATTTATTTTTCTTGCACCACACATTTGGCTGTGAAAATGAATCTCAAATATTGCTGATGGGAGTTAAGATAGGCTCTTGCCACTGCTTACTAGGGTTTCATAGCCAAATGTTCAAACAGGCATCACAATCTGTTGATATAGGCTGCAGTTTCTATGTGGACATTTACACTATATCTTTTGACTTGTAGAAATTGCTGTCAGGCCTTTTGCTGGTTCTTTAACTACACGGTGTTTTGGCTATCACTTTCCTTTTTCCTGTGTTCCTACCATACAGGCTTGAACAGTTCTGCAGCTTAGTTGAAGGCATTTGCTTTGTCATTCTGACTCTTAGTTTGGTTTTCCTTTTTTCATTGGGGGGTTTGTCTTGCTCTAGCACTTTAGTTTTCTGCTGAATCTCTAGAAACTGTGTTGACTTCTTTCTGATAATGCCCATGATTGAAACTAAGCATGCATTAATTTTGTAGTACAGCATGGTATTGGAAAAATAGACTTAAGCTATACTCAGAAAATGAGGTAGCCAGTCTGTCGTCCAGATTGCATTTCTTTCGGTAAGATTTTAACTGGAACAGACACTGAAGCCATTCCAAGTGGCAAAGCTGGGTGATGAAATATGACACATGGAAGGGAACAGAATTGGCATTGAGCCTCAATGCATGAATAGCATTTTCCTCTTTGAAGCATATTTACTAGAAGGAAAATAAAAACATTTCAAGCTGGGCTCTTGGGGGGGGGAGTGTTTTCCTTTAAGTTATATTGTTGCTGTTCTTTTATATGGGGTTATAGTTTTCTTAGTACTTTCAAAATATGGGATGTCTGCAGACTTCTGCATTTTTGAAGGAAGGTGATGTAGAAGAGAATGGTACAACTGTTGCTGTCACCTGTAGTTATAATAATTAAAGTGAATATATTTTGCTGAAATAGTGAGCTCTAGATCATGATTTTTACTAATTTGAACTTGACTTTCTTGACACAGTCCCATTGCAAGTTATTTAAATCTCATTTATAGGAACAACAAGCAGCTGGTGACATAAAATCAAGCATTTGTCTCCATTTAGTTGTTAATGTGTCATGCACCCATCTCGTAGCATTTGAATGAGCTAGCAGTTTTAAATATAGCCCTGTCCCTGTTCAAAAAAGGGGTAGTGTGGTATTGGTGCTGTGCTAAAGTTTGTAGTGCAGGATTAATCAAAGTCCAAATATCAGATTGCCTGACCCTTTACAATTGTGGTAGGGCTACTTTGAATTTGTAGATACGTTTCCAGCTATGTGGAAAAAAAGCATTATTGACTTTGTGTAAATTTGTATGCTATTTCCAAGCCAGAAGGTATTGTTTGAATGAACTGTTAAGGTACTCTCACCCTCAAAGGAAAGTCTGCAGTACATGTTCATTACACTTGCTGGATATGCATGGGTTTAACTTGCTTGCCAGTTCCTTGTCCACAGATGGCTGCTGCAGATAAGGCAACTGTATGGCTGTATCCCTTAGATTTCCAGCCCAGAGAAGATGAACTAGAGGCTCAGAAGCAGAAATCCATTGTGTCAGTTGTTTTCTCTGTCTTTTTCTGAATGTAATTTCTGTATAATATATAGTTTTATAAAGCCATAGTTCTTGGGTGTAGCCCTTCTGGATAATTAGCAATAACAGATTTATCATTATTTCTTCTGACTCTTAATCCAATAGTGCCTGCAAAATAATGAAATTACTCTCTCCCCCCCACACACACAACGATAAGCAACATGTTTATTGGCATCCACTTGCTTCCCCCCCCCCAAGATGAACAGCCAGATTTTCTCCATCTTATTGCAGCAGTAGATTCTTCAGAAGACCCCATGAGACATCAGCTTGGATCTGCAGGGAGTGAACATTTGGCAATAGGCTAGCTGTGCCCAACATCGGAGCATGTTTGGCTTGAAACCTAATTGCCACCCCCCTGGCAGCCATTTATAACTGGTCCTATACTCCATGGCAGCCATTTTGTGGTGGTGCCCACCATCATACTCAGAATTCCAAAAGTTCCCACAGGCTGAACAGGGTTGAGGAGATGAATTCAGGTGAGTAGCCATGTTGGCCTGAAGCAGCAGAACAAAGTTCAAGGTATAAGCTTTCGTATGCATGCACACTTCAGATATCTAAAGAAGTGTGCATGCACAGGAAAGCTTATACCTTGAATAAAACTTTGTTAGTTTTAAAGGTGCCACTGGACTCAAGGGTTGGGGAGATCTTGTGAGGTGCAGCAGGCTCATTTATAGAGCAGAATATTATTTGAGTAAATTACCTTCTTTTGGATTAAAGTTTATTGTGAAAATTAGCATAGCCAGAAACTGAATTTAGGTCTTATGAATACTGGTAATCTGCTTTGATGTGTATGTAATATGTTAGAAACTGGTTTTAATGTCCAGTTACAGGTAGTCTTCTTTTACATCTTTCACCTTGCATCCTAGAAAACTAATCTCTGAAAGAACGGGGGTCTACCATCAACATTCAGCAAGTTACATGACTGACTTTGAGTGTTGTGCTGCCTCTTGCCCTCTATCCATAAAATAGAAAAAAGCAGCTTGTGCAGTGATACCCAGGGTAATAGAACCGTGATTCTCCCCCCCCCCCCCAAATCCTCTCAATAGGCCAGGCTGTTAGCTTGCTCGGTGAATTTTGACAAGTCACTGTCTCAGCCCAACTTACCTCACAGGGTTGTTGTGAGGACAACATGGATAAAATGAGAATGTTGCACATTGCTTTGGGTCCTCATTGGGGAGAAAAGCAGAACATGAATATCCAGATAAATAAAATAGCACAGGACATTCATTGTTTCCCTTTTATCAGTTTTGCGTTAGTAGACTGTTTGGAATCTTAGTGCCAGCATAAGTAGAGTTACGCTAAGTCAGTTGGCTTCTATGGGGTTAGGATGGCACTGTAAGTCTTTCAGAAATCTGAGGAGGTAATGCTCTTTTACATATTAAGCAGGACATGTAACTATCTCCATTAGTGGTTCGTTCTCTGTTGGTATGTGATTAAAGAAACATTTTTCTTTCTTTCCAGGAATTTACAGGCAGCCATTGGAGCTTACTATGATTTTGAGAGCCCAAACATCAATGTGCCCTCCATGTCCTTTGTTGAAGATGTGACCATAGGAGAAGGAGAGTCCATCCCTCCTGATACTCAGTTTACAAAAACGTGGAGGATACAAAACACAGGTGAATGGTGTAACCATCTCCCTTTGGCTGCTGCCAGCCGTAGTATTGTTTTGTGTTCTTTGCTAACAGTATAAGTATTAGTTATGGTTAGGTTATTTTCTGTTAGAATATTCAGTTAGTTTTAAAAAGTAGTTAATGGCAACTAGAAGTCCCATAGATGTTCAGATTCTCTTATTTGAATGCTAATACTGGCATTCTGTCATGGTGAGCATCACTCTCGCAGTGGTGAGAATGACAATCCCTTGCCCTTCCCCCAAGCTTGGAAAGTGGGAGATAATCCCTTTAAGTCCTCCTTTGGAGGTCCGCCAGATGCCTCCAAAGCTCAACATGACATCAGAGATAAGATTCTGCCCTCCACCCACCCCCCTCATGAAAGGCGCAGAATCTTGGCAATCACACATTTTGGCTGCTTCCACCTTGGCCAGTACTCTGTGTTGTATTGCCCTGCTCCATCTAGTAAATTGGCCTCTGCTGCATCGCTGTTGCCTTGAGTTCTAGACACTCTGTTTATCTCCTCTTTTTGTGTCCTGCTTAAAATTGGTTTTGTGGATTAGGGATAGCAGGTCAGAAGTTTCAGATCTTCGACGTGGTCTCTGTGCTTCACACCCATGGGATCTAGTGCGCACGCGCTGGATCGATCGCAAGCTCTTTTAACGGATTTTCGCGCCCAGTCCCTCGGGCATGCACAGGAACCCCACCGCGCATGCCCAGAGAGATGGGCGCGGACATCCCGCCAATTCCTTCAAGGTACCGCCGCAAATCAACCCCTATTAAAAATGTAGAAGCTGACAGCAGTGGGGAAGGAGGGTGGGTGGTGTGAATGCACAGATGACCACTTGAAGATCACCAGTTACTGGTAAGCAACCTGCTTATCTTCGACGTGGTCTCTGTGCTTCACA